CACTGCTTCATTATTTAATCCTCCTCTTCCTTTTCTGCTTTTGTTTTTCTTTAGTCTGCGTGAGGTCAACCTGCTTTGCATAGGAGAAAAAACTAAACTTCTTATCACCTCCAACTAGAAATTCCTGTTATTCTCTTTCCCCAATAGCTGTGCCTGCCCTTTGAGAAAAAAAATGGATGTAGTATGTGACTTGTCATTCATTGACGATCAAATTTAAATTAGGGACAAAGAACCAGATACTTGCCCTTATGAAACCCTCTGGACTACACAGACCTGCACACAAATCCATACTTTTACATATAACATTACCATTGCGTTGTAGAGAAAAACAACAAAACATGACAAAACTCCACAGTTTTGGATTTGTCACCAATATGGAGCTAGCCCAACCATAGTCTTCTGTCATTCTAGTTGTGGCTTACTTAATTCACATCTTTTCTCTGCTGGTAATGTTAATACTATGGTGTTAAAACTGTTTCTGACAAGCAGGAGTGTTTAGTGTCTTGCTTTAGCATTTGTTAAACCCTTGGTGAATTTGGTTAAACTTTGACCTTGCATTTTTAGCTCATTGTCTCAGTGTGCAAAGGCCTCTGTGGTGCTGCCTGATTTTGTCACCAAGGTCTGGTGCAGTTTGTGCTGGATTGGCTAACATGACTTATTTTAATTACCATAGTAGTCTTCCATTTCTTCCTGATGGTGAATGGGTCACTTTCCTGGATGCTCCTTCTGATGAGAGTTGCCTGTTAAGCATTCCTCACTTTTATGTCCAATTTTTAATCTCTGATTACAAAGGAGCCAATTTGTTAATTCCTCCCTGTGCTTTTTATTTCATCTTATTTGCCTTTAGTATTATTTCTTGCAACTGTAACATAATCATAACAGGTGCTTATATAGCGCGTTCTGCTCCAGGCCCTCTGATCTACATGCTCTATTCGTGTTCTTCTCACAGCTGTCCCTGCAGTGGCCCCTGGATTTGTCTGCACCAAATAGATGAGCTGGAGCATGAGAGGTTAGGTAACTTGTCACAGATCTCCAGAAGTTCGAATCTGTACACTGGCTTGAGTCCATGCTTATCACCACTGTGTAACGCGCTGGAGTAGCCATGATATCTCTTTGGATGTCTCCTCATTAAGCCTTGAAAATACCAAGGCTGTCGGGACATCACTGCCTTGTTGCTCCTCTCTGGCTAACTTGGGTCAATGTTTATGCTTTCCTTTTCTTTCTCGGTCGTTTCCCAGTTTATCTCCCTCCCACCTCCAGCCTGTTTTCCTTATTTCACTTTGTTTAAATCTTATTATCCAGGCTTACAATATACATTTTATAATTTCTGTAAGCTTTTAGCGAGCTTTAGGCAGGTATTTTAAAGGTGGTGACTGAAAAGCTAGTTTCTACCCCCAGGTGTAGAAGAAGGGGAAACCGCACCTGCTGTTTGAATAATTTGCAATTTGAGGTTTTCTGATTACAACTTTCCCTTATCCTACAGTGGAGACTCCTTATTATGGATTTTACCTGTGCACTTCTCCAATGTTTCCTTCAGGAGATAGCAGTTAATTTACGCTAATTAGCACCCAGGTTGGTGCCTTCCTCTTTTGCTTATCTCTAGCTTAGCCTAGCCAGAGGTGGGCAACCATTTAGAGCTGTCAGTGGTACCAAACAGCTGGCTACTAGTGTGCCATAGGTGTACCAGCCCGGCCCTAGGCTCCTGGTGAATTATAATTATACACAAATGGAGAGCAGGCAGGCATCTACAGATGCCATTTGTGGTCAGGGAGACTGAATCTTGAACAGGGCAGCATGATCTGAATAAGTAGAGATTTAGTGATAGAAATAAAATGGGGATAGACATTGCTTTCTAGTGTGTTATTGTTCTTTTAATGTGCATTTTAGGAATGTTGTGAATTGTTCATAGAATTTATGAAACATTGAGAGAAGTATATTAATCCAGCAATAATTAGGACTATTTTTTTATGTATTAACTAGCTACTAGTCTTTTCTGAAATAATATATTTAATAAAAATGATACATTTTACATAGTTACAACCACAACAGATACCTAATTTTGTCTCCAGGCTTAAACATTTACGTTATGTATTATGTAGTACCATGCTATTAAAAATTTGACTAACATAATTTATTATAACTTGCAAAATCTAATTGCTGGCTTCTGAGGGTTTTTAATCATTTTTTGTAACATGATCACAACTCATTCTAGTAATACTATTAGAGACTCACAAATCTTTTACTTTTCATTTGAGCATGTAAAAACAAACTTTATGAACTGCTATTTCTGATTCTTATTCAATATGCTTACTGTGTAGTGATGAAATCATCTGTAGTCTAGTGTAGTCATTATAATCTTTATTGAGCACTATTTATCTGTCTCATTTCTCACCCAAAGGTTCAAAGAAATGTCAGCATAACTTAAATAGGTATATAATATAGTATAACAATTCTTTTTTTGAAAATGATTTGCTTGGTGTTTCTGATTTGTTTTCTTTTTTTTTGTTGTTGTTGTTTTGTTTTGTTTTTTGGTACCGGGGATTGAACTCGGGTCCTTGCTCTTGCAAGGCAGGCCACCAGACTGCTGAGCTAAATCCCCAGCCCTTCTGATTTGTTTTCTCTTAAGAATATTTTACTATGGAAACTTTTGCATTTATTCTAACAGTTGAAATATGAGTTTTCTTTCACATTTTATTGTCAGAAGTAGTGGAATTAGAAAAATATCTCTTTAAAATATTTATTTTTTGGACCTGATGACACAGAATTGAAAGATTTAATATTAAACCCAAAATTCTGAAAGCCTAGGCTAAATATGAGAAAAATCAGGAGTGTATTCTTGTGTTGCCATTCTTGCAGCTTGTGATATATGTTGTTCTTTGACAAAATTGAGTATTAAATTTTAACAGTTATATTTCCCCTTCATGCATGCTATGGGCCTTCCTATGTATTTATTTGCCAAGGGAATTCATTATCTTCTACTTCTTGGTCTTTTCATTTTCAATTGTTAAATTTATAGCAGGGATTGGACAACTTTTTCTAGAAAAGGCGAATATATTAACCCATTCAGGATGCTTTTAATAAAATACCATAGGCTGGGTAATTTATAAACAACAGAAATGTGTTATTCATCATTCTGAAGACTTCAAAGTCTAAGATTTTGTGTTAGGCAAGGGTCCCCTTTTCTTCTCATAAGAAGCTCATCCCCACATGACTGAAGGGACAAAGTGGCTGCCTTGTGGCTTTATAGAGCCTTTTTTCCCTTGTATTGAGTTTATTGGTCCATTTTAGGCATACAGTACAGTTAAGTTCATTACTGGGATCTTGTACCTACATGACAGGTCTTGGTTCTCATTTTTTCCCCTTGTCCCTGCCCTCCCTCCACCCATTCTTCCCCTCCCCCTTTATAAACACTTTATTTCCATTTTCTCCTATTTTTTTCTTTTCCCTTATTACCTTTCCCCTACCCTTCCCACTTTCCCTACACCTTTAGCCCTTTTCTGCCCATTTCACAATGTCAGTTATCTCATTATAGAGCCTTTATAAAAGCACTAATCATATTCAAAAGGCGTCGGCACTCCTAACCTCATCACCTCCCACAAGCCTACTTCCTAGTATCATCACCTCTGGGCTAGAATTCCAACATACCATCTTGAGGGAGACAAACATTCAAGCCATAACAGCCAGATAGAAATAAACATAGGCTCTGTGGGCCCCAGAGTCTCTGTTAGACACTCAGCTGTGCCTTTCCCATGGGGAGGCAGCATTAGAACAGCCAGCCTTAGACTGCAAATGACTCAAGGAAAACACTATCAAAATTTCTTTACAAACAGGCAACCACATGTTCTCCACTAAAACAAAAGGGGGCGGATACATCAGGATAAAATGATCACTCTATTAAAAATACGTTTTCGTTTCCATCATTTAGTTTGGTATTTAAAAAAATTTTTTTCTGTCATTTCTGGGGGTGGAACTTTTGAGCACTTTTAAAAATTAACTATACCTTCCTATTTTAAATAAACTAAGTCATAAGAAATCACCATGAATAGTCCTCATCTTAAATGGATGGATTGGGACTTGGGTCGAGTGTAGATGGTGACAGCTGTAAAGAGTGACTTCTGACTTCTCAAATCCACCTTTGTAAACCTGACACTGTGCATTTCTTTCACAAGAAAATGAGCTCTGTGTATGAGCTTTCCTACAGGGTTTCTCAGAGGCCCTTTTTAATTCTTGTCACTCAGCAGATCACGTTTTCTTTATGTTGGCTCTCTTGGCTATGCTTGGCCTGCATTCGTTACTGACATGACAAGCTTGTTCTGAGAAAATGGACACAGACGCACACAGTTAGCCTTTTGAGATCATGCTAACCATTCTGACAATGAAATCTATCTTCTCCCTTTTGAAACCTTAAGGTCAGAAGCTGTATATTGCATTCATGTCTGTTATGATGGCTGTCTATTACATATTTCTATTTATTATATATTTCTCTTGTTTTACAAATAATAAACATTTTATACTATAATCCTCGAGGAAAAGGAATGATCATTGTGGATTAGAATGTGTGACTGCAGGATTGTACTTTCCTTGCCAACAGGCTTCCTAGACTGACCTAGCCTGCGAGTACCCTCCCCCGCCTGCTTTGGACATTAGCACGCAGGTGTGCCTGCCGTTCCATCTGTCCGCCTCGCTGCCCTCCCTTTTCTGGAAAGTCTAGACATGTGTGTGGCTTTCTTTCAGAACTCTCCCAGGTAGAATCGCCAGTGGGCTCAGTTGCTCCGGTTCTAGTGTGTGTATTTTCCTTCCTCCGCTGTGATTTCCTTTCCTGTGGATATCATCAGTTCCTTCTCATAGACAGCACGTGCCACCATCACAGTCTCCTGTGACAATCATGTTGGGCACAGAATTCTTACATGTTGGACAAAGTGAACACAGTTCATTGACTGGAAAAGGAAGGTGCTGTTCACTGCGGACTGATTGGTCACACATTTCCCCTTGGTTTCCAGGAATTCTGGAAGTTCTACACTGTGTGCTGGTGGAGAGTCCAGAAGCTCTGAATATTATTAAAGAAGGGCATATTAAATCCATTATCTCACTCTTAGACAAGCATGGGAGAAACCACAAAGTAAGTAAACCCTTTGTTTCCATGAAAGGATTCTGAAAGCAGTTCAGCTATAAGAACAATGTATTGGGTTTCACTGTGCAGGGTGAAGAAAAATAGAAAATGTTTTAAAGCTTTAAATAATGAAGTGATAATATTTGAGGAGATACATGTATTTGCCTTGAGTTAAACATTAAACAACATATACATGTATTGAAGCCCTACACTGGATTCTGTAAATAGGTACATTTTTAGCATTTTATGTACCACCTAAAATAAACTTAAAGTAAATACGTTAAAATAAGAAGACTTGTCAAACGCGTGTTGAATTTTTCATGAGTGTTTTTTCATGTTAGGTATGATCGAGTAACACTGTTCAGTTTTTATGCATAGCTTCAGTGGGAGCATCAGCAGTTCTCCGTTTGTGTGTGACGGAAGGTTGGAAGATGAGTGAGACGCATGCTGTCTTGTTCAAATGACCCAGTCAGGTGGAACTGGCGGGAATGGTTCGCTCCACAGCAAGCCCTGCTGATGCTTGAATTTAAAGCATGGGTTAGAATCTACTGGAAGTAATTTCTCATTTCAGGTTCTGGATGTCTTGTGTTCCCTGTGTGTTTGCCATGGGGTTGCTGTCAGGTCTAACCAGCATCTCATCTGTGACAATCTCCTGCCGGGACGAGATCTTTTATTGCAGACCCGTCTTGTGAACCAAGTCAGCAGGTAAATTCAGATGGACAGTGTCATAAATCGGTAACATAGCAAAAGAGTCCTCGCTCTGACTCTGTGCCTAATGCCACAAATGGTCCATTCATCTCTTAGGCTCTTTTGTGTATTTCCCCAGTGAATAATAGAAGTATTGCTTTGTACCAAGCAAATGTGACACTAATAACAGTAGATGAAGCAGTGTATCAGTTTGTTTCAAACACGTGTGTAAGAGCTTTTGTTCTGATCATACATACATGAATTAGCATTGACATCGTTAGGAGTAGGATGACAAGTATAGAGATAACAGTTGTATATAATTATGTTTTATGTCTTATAACAAAATGCTGTCCTTCAAAATTGCTCGGAGGTGTCCAGTATATATGATAAAAAAGGAGGTCTGAAATATAATAAATTCTACAAATAGGCAATCAAAAGAGATCCTCAGTTAGATCTGCCTTCTAGAGTAGCCAACATCCATTGAGTGAAGTGTGCCAGCTACAAAGCCAGGTGCTTCACATGTCATCTGTATTGCGTGTGTGCATGTGTGTGTTATGTGTCTGTGTCTTCCTGAGTGCTGCTGTTACCTACGGTTTATGGATGAAGAGCCTGGAGCTAGAAGTGGGTTTCAGGTCTGACTCCAGGCTTCGATCATAAGGACCATGCCACACAGCCTTTCTTACCCCCACACATAAACAAATCAATAACATGTGACAGGTTTTACCACCAACCAAATGCTTTATGTGATAGCACCTTTGGTATACTGCTTTCTAGGAGGTAAGTTGCTGCTTTATCCTATTTCAAATACAAGTATAGAATAAAATATGTACATCTCTGTTGTATTTTTTAAACAGGATCCATTTCAGATCTTCTTCATAGCTCTTTATATATCAAACCTGCCATGAATGGGTAGCATTTCTCCAGACCTTTACTATTCCCTGGGATTACCATAGAGTATAGGTCCTCCTAACATGGAATAAAATGTATCATGAAATAAATCTTATTAAATTCTCTGTTCCCAGTGAGCAGCCGCCTTCATTAGGCACCTTGCTGCTTCAGCTTCTTGCCCTGGGTGACACAAAGCTTGGTTTATGAGGGTGACTGCATGTCCTGGGTTCACAGCAACCCCATGAATCCTAAAGGCCTGCTATGCAAAGTGTCTCATTTTGTGTTTCAAATTTGATTGACCATGTAAAAGGTGCTAAAGAGCAATTAGAAGTTTAAAAAACTCAGAAAAATAGCATTAGACCCTTGTGTGATGATGCTAAGTAAACCAAAATAAATACTGTTCACTGAAGGTGACCTTGGAGACTGGCTGTCACTCTGTATTACCCCAATGGCTATGTTAATAATTCTGGAATCAAGGGAGCATGTGTTTAATATGTGGCTTCCCAGAGAAGCAGGGCTAGCATTCAAAATAGCAAGGCTGAAATGATAACGACGGAAGGCGTGCTTGGCCTGGTCTCACATGTTGTTCCTATCTCTTTAAAGCATGAGGCCCAATATTTTTCTGGGCGTCAGTGAAGGGTCTGCTCAGTATAAGAAATGGTACTATGAGCTCATGGTGGACCACACTCAGCCGTTTGTGACAGCAGAAGCCACTCACCTGCGAGTGGGCTGGGCTTCCACGGAAGGCTACTCGCCCTACCCTGGGGGCGGTGAGGAATGGGGCGGCAATGGTGTTGGCGACGACCTCTTCTCCTATGGATTTGATGGCCTGCATCTCTGGTCAGGTAGGCACTCTGCCCTTCCTCTCACCAATTTCTAGATGGAGATGGTGTGATCCTACTGTGTGCTTCTGAAAGCTATCACTTCTACTTCTGTGGGTAATTTGATTATTCTGATTGAGTAAAAAGTGGTATTTCACCAGATAAAAATGAAAATAATTAAGATTGGCGTATGTTTCTAAAGGACGGTGTTGCTTATGAACAGTATTTTTGAAAGTGGTATTTCAGTGTGTGATGGACTACACGAACTTTATTTCTGACTTGTTTTAACGGATGTGCAGAGATTTAGCTTGTTTCCAACTTAAAAAGTACAAAACACAAACCCTAGAAAGTGATAGGAAGAAATGAGCTAGTTCAGCCTCCTGCAAGATACTGTAAAGGCAGGCATCAGTAATCTGCACAGGGCTTTGTGACTAGTCCATTTGTGATGAAATAATTTGCTTTAAAAAGTGTAGAAAATAGCGCAAAATTTTCAGCAAACTAAGAGAAACTAGTAGTATAAGTGCTATTATCTTTCTTATAAGAGAGTCTTTTTTATCTATGATCTGAACTCTGAATAACATTTTTGGCCATTCTTTTAAGATTATGATGCACAGAGTAATAACTGTTGTTATTCTCTAATTGTGTGTACTTTTATGAAAGATTGCTTTTTTATTTGCTTTTATAAATAGCTACATGTATTACATTAAAATTAAAAAGTGTAGAAAAGGTTAAAAGTAAGTGCACAGTTCATTTCTCCAGCTACCTGCTCTCAGTTCTGATGGTTGAGAATAATATATATTACACATAATATTTTTCTCTGATTCATGAAAAGACATTGTATGGTTGATTTAAAAATGTAGCTCTTATATACATATTTTTTGGATACTAGAGTTCATCTGGAATCTGCATTTCATGAAACTCCATTTAGAACCTAGTCCTGGCAAGACACTGAAATATTTTACAAAGTGTTCAGTCTATAAAAGATAAAGAACACCAACTTAAGTTACAAAAATATGAACTTTATCGTGTGATGCAAATACTGTTCATTTAAGAGTTGTGGATAGGCCTAATAGCGTCTGAAAAGAAATCTTAAAATTAAATGAACTAAATCTGAGGTTATGGTAATGCTTTTGTAAACTCTTTTTTCTATTTGTAGCTTTGCAATCATAGTTACTGTTTGATATTCACCCAGTACCAATAGCTCTGTTGTCTAGAAGAAATGAAGCTATACTGTATTTCGAGTGGTTCATCTAACCACCAGGGTGTGTGGCTGGAGTCATCAGAGTAGTGAGGGTTGTCTGTACGTAGGAGCAATTGTGCTAGGCACAGGACTGCCACAGTGTTAACTTGTTTTTACATTAGACAAGAGGCTGGGGGAAAAACGTTACTCTGCTAGCACAATTCTGAACTGTTTCTAATAATTTTAGCTTTGTAACACATTTTACCCTTTTGATTTTACATTCAGTTTGATGCTTTTCCTTTCACTATAGTAAAAGAGCCTAGTAGTTGTAGAATTGAATTGGGTGCAGTATGCTTTTTATTATAAAGTATCATCTAAATAGAACAAGAAGAACAAAAGATTTTGGGGAGCTATGGACCTGTCACAGGAAGCATGGTAGGTAAGCTTCAGAATTTCAGGAGAAAATTATCTTGAAACTTTATTGTCAGGAGAAAACATTTGTCCCTTTTTATTTATTTATTTATTTAGCCTCATGAGTTTATTGGTACATTCTAGGTATACAGTACAGTTACATTCATCACTGGGATCTTGGACCTTTGCCTGACAGGTCTTGGTTCTCATTTCTTCCCCTTGTCCCTGCCCTCCCTTCACCCCCTCCTCCCCTCCCATTTACAAACACTTTATTTCCATTTTTTCATTTTGTCGTATTTTTTCTATTCCCTTATTCCCTTTCCCCTACCCTTCCCACTTCCCCTACACCTTTAGCCCCTTTCTTCCTGTTTCACATTGTCAATTATCTCATTAGGATCTTATGTACTATTATAGTTTATTCACCCCAGAGAAGCTATTCAGTATTTACACATGTGTGACTTATTTATTTCACAGTGATATATGCACACCTCCGCTTACAGAGGCACAGTGTGTAATAGGTAAAACTTGGAAACAACACATTTGCCCATCATTTGGAAACTGGATAAAGAAGATGTGGTTTTTCTATAAAATGGAATACTACTCGGCCATAAAGAATGAGAAATTAGATTCATTCATAGGAAAATGGATACATATTGAGGATATTTGTCCCTTTAAAAAAAATGACCAGAAACTATGCACTATGTCAGGCTTTAGTTGAAAAGTCAGGTATCTCTAGTCAGAGGGGATCTATTTCATGCTTTGCTAAGTTTTGGTTCAGAGACAACAAAACCAAGTCTAATGCAGTTGGAGTCTGATTGAGTTTCCAAGGCTGAATTCTTAGTCACTTAGCTCATCTTCTTGGGTTTCTTCTCTTTCTTTTCTTTTAGATTGTTGATATAGAATTTAAAGTGTCAAATATTGATGATTTTTAGAAGAGAACACATTTAACTACTGAACATTTTGTAATTGGAGAAGGGAGATATTCCTTGGCACTCAGCTCTGGCTCAGAAGCAGAATTTTGAGCTGCGTCTTCATTTATTCTCTATAATTTAAAGGTTGTGCAGTGTTGCTATTGGGACATTCCAGATGTTTGAAAGGAACAAAAATGTAAAGAAAATGGTGCCTTTAGAGAATTTGAATAGTAGAAGTATAGAGGAATGATGAACTATACAGGAAAGATGGTCCAAATTTCTCACCCAGGATCTGTGAATCCTGCTGCATTCACCTCCCTTTCTGCTCATGCAGAAAACAGAAATACAGTTCAAACTGTGGGCCTCAGTTTGTTCAGTAGTGGTCTTTTCTATTCGTTTCAGAGATTGCAAAAACAGTTTACTGTGATAACTGTTAGACAGGCATTAGCATTAACATAATAATATCCTTCAAACTGAGCACTGTATTTGGATTATGTTTTTACTATGATAACTAACACATTAACATTTTTTATTAACTGAAGATTTTGATACAAAACAAAGAAATAGGCCTTTCCCTTTGAAGTGCATTGCATTTACATGATTTTGGAGAAAGTGGCTCTTATTATATTTAGGGAATTCTAGAAGAGTCACTTGATCCTGACTTTGTGGCTTGCAGATTTGAATATTAATAAAGTAGAAAGTCCATATTTTAGAAAGCCAATATTCTCTATAACTGGCATGTCAAATATGTTCTTGGTGAAAACCTTGGCATGGTATAAATAAGAAGTGCTATAAAAATACAAAGCATATATCATGAAATTTATTTTTGTGTTTGTTCAAATCAAGGAGTATAGCTGTGTTTTTTTGCATATATATTTGGAGGAACATTACTTCCCTTTTCCATTGTGTGATGAGAAACAGTTGCCTTTGGGACTGATTAGCAAAGAGGTTTTGATATAGTGAGAATGGCCTTAGACCATTGTTGGCCTGGGCAAGAAGAGACCCCTTATCAAAAATTATTTTCTTGACCTCAGTTGTATCTCCATACTTAAGAGAACCAAGTCCTGTGTGAAAGAAATTATAAAATAAGAACAAATTAGTTGGCATAATTGTCTCAGAATAAGCAGTATACTGCAAGAATGAATGATCACAGTTTCTGCTTTCATTATCTCTTTTTTGGGGGAAGTACCCAGGATTGAGCTCTGGCCCTTGCACTTGCGAGGCAGGCGCTAGAACCACTGAGCTAAATCCCCAGCCCCGTTTTCATTATGTTCGTATAATTTTATTTTAGATTTATAGAATAGAGGAGGGGACTTTGTATTTGAAAAGGGAATCTGACCTACCCGTAACACTGTGCTCCTTTTAAATGATTAATTCAATCATTGTAGTACTTCTAGACAGTGATGGTATTTGGTGTTCTAAGAAATGAAGGTTCAGAGAAATTAAAAAAATGTGTTGTTGGTTATATAAGTAATCGATGGTAAGGTAGCTATTTTCAGTCAGATCTTTTCCTTGGCAAATTTTCTCTGACATCATGATAATATGTACTCTGAGTTAATTTCTGCATCGAAGACCATCTGTCTACCTGCAGAAATTTGTGTCTACTAGAAGGCCCATTTTCTAATGAAGCAGCCTGGCTTCTGGAAAAGATAGTGTTTAGTTTTAGACCAATAATGCAGCATAGAATATTAACTTACACTCGAGGTTTAGTTCATTCTGTCTTGTGTATTGGTTTTTCTCGCTGTGCTGACCTCGGCTCTGGAGATGGTTCTCTGAGATGAAAATACATGACCTTTTTCAATGTTTTCCCTCAACAGGTTGTATTGCCCGTACTGTAAGCTCGCCAAACCAGCATCTGTTGAAAACTGATGATGTCATCAGTTGCTGCTTAGATCTGAGTGCCCCAAGCATCTCCTTCCGAATCAATGGACAGCCTGTTCAAGGAATGTTTGAGAATTTCAACATCGACGGCCTCTTCTTTCCAGTTGTTAGTTTCTCTGCAGGAATAAAGTTAGTATGTCTCTGTTTTTTGGTGTATTTCCCTTCTCTCTTCGCACACTTCACAGAAGACCCTGCCACTACCCTCCTTTCCTAACCTTTGCTGTTTCCTCTTGGGCACCTGTTGTTGCAGGGCATTTGCCTGTTCCTCGAAGGAGAAGGTAAGTTTCACCCAGGGGATTATTTCCAGAGGCAAATACTTTGCCCACCTATTCCACCATTCCGCTCTGGTAGTAACTAATATTCCCCTGAGTCAGGGTCCCGAAAAACATTTCAGGTCCATATTTCAAGTTCATTGTACTATATAATAAGGGAAAATGAATAAAACTATTAAAAACATCACTTTATTATACTGATTTTTATTTATTTATTTTCTACCATAGCCTTGCACCCTATTTCAAACCCCCACATTCTAGAGAAATTAAGTGTTCCTTCTGTGATGCTGGCTCCTTTCAGTGTCCTCTCCACCTGTCCCACTGGTAATTATCTGCTTGTCATCAATCACGTCAAGATGATTTCCTCTGAATTTTTGTTATTACCAGAGCAAAGCAAAGTTATAATTCATTAGAATTCTACAGAGAAACCTTCAGTGGATCATGGTTGATCAAAATAAGGGCAAACATGAAATAAATTATAAAACAAGAACAAATTAGTTGGCATACAATTGTCTCAGAATAAGCAGTCGTTGGGCCTTATTATTATTATTAACCATATTTATACGAATATGACTCCTTTGTTCCTACCAACCACCCATTTATTTTGCTCATTCTTTTAGTTATAATTCTTCTCCTAGGAATACTTTCAAGTTACAAAAGCATTGCATTGAAGAAATGAATAATCATGAAATATCAGCTGTCCTTTCTGGTGTACTAATTTTGTTTTTTTTTCTATAAACTTCTAGGTTGTTTTAAAGTTTTTGTTTTTCGTCATATTTTGTTTGGGATGTGTCTTTTAGTTTTTGACCTGGAACTGAGACACAAATAGGGCAAATGAAAAATTTTGTTTTTGTTTTTTATTTAAAGCTGAGAGCCCCAAGAAGTCAGTATCATTAAACTGTTTCAAAGAGTGTTCTTCAATAGAATTCACATTAGTTTCTGATTAAATGAGTGCAATGCACAATTTTAGTAACTTCTGTTTTCGTTAATATTGAAAGTGGTAAACAGTAAAAGATATAAGGTTATCTGCTTTCTTCAGCAAATAGAAGGTAGTGCCTGAATCATTTTTAAAGAATTTCTTTAGTAAATTGGGTGCTAAGAATTGACTGCTTTCTTTCCTTACACCTAATCCAATTGTACAGTTTTAAGCATACAGATACTTAGGCCATGCCTTTTTTTCCAGTAATTCAATAATTTATTCCTCTAAAAAAGGGTGTAAAAGTACGTAGCTCTCATCCTCAAGGTATATACAAATAACACCTAAAAAGGAGGCCTTTTATTATTGTTTCTTTTTATCAGAGTACCGTACCAGTGTGATACTGTTTTTTTTTAAATGAACATGTATTTTTGTATTCTTTCACATTGTTTGCTATATATAAAAGAAGCTCACTGCAAAATACCTGAAGGAAAAAAAGGAAACAAAAGAAATTCAGAACTTCCCAGAAATGTACAGCTTTTACATTTAAAAAAGGTTCTGAAATTTACATACAAGCGTTCTGGACAATCCCACCCTTCGCCCCTTCCCCCTTCTCATTTTTAGCTTTTTTCCCCTGTTTATTAGTTGAGCCTCCTGGAATATTAAGAGTTCAGTTGCTGTAGACTGGCTTTTTTTTTTTTTTTTTTTGGCAGTACTGGGGATCGAACACAGGGCCTTGTGCTTGCCAGGCAGGTATGGTAACACTGAGCTAAATCCCTGGCCCTGGCATGCATTTTATTTACATGGAAGTATGCATATACTTCTGGTTATTTCTAGAGCCAGTGATAAGCCCTCACTGATCCTTTAATCTACATTTTTGTCTTTTGAGCAATATGATGCCCTCATGTTTTTCCTTTTATTATTAGAAGCTCTTTGGTGATGTTATAATGATACTTGGGAAAAATTGTGGCTTCTGATAAAGTTAAAATATTTTCCTCATGTTTTCTTGATTTGAAAACAATCATATGCACCAGGAATCGCCAGTTTTTTGGCACCAGGGACTGGTTTCATGGAAAACAGTTTTTCCGTGGACTGGATATGGGTGTGGAGGAGCATAGTTTGAGGATTAGATTTTCATAAGGAGCAGAGGAGTTAGATCCCTTGCATGTGCCCTTTACAGTAGCATTCATGCTAGGAGAATCCAGTGCCCTTGCTAATCTGACAGGATGAGCCTTTTAGGCCATGATTCCAGTAATGGGGAATGGCTTTAAATATAAGTAAAGCTTTCTCTACCCTGCTGCTCACCTCCTGTGTGCAGCCCAGTTCATAATGGGCCATGGACTGGTACCAGCCCAGGCATTAGGAATCACTAATGTATACCAAAGGTATAGCTGACTTTGACTTGGATCCTTTTTAGGGTTCGCTTCTTGCTTGGAGGGAGACATGGGGAATTCAAATTCCTTCCTCCACCTGGATATGCTCCTTGCTATGAAGCTGTTCTGCCCAAAGAAAAGTTGAAAGTGGAACATAGTCGGGAATATAAGCAAGAACGAACATATACGCGAGACCTGCTGGGCCCCACCATTTCCCTGACCCAGGCTGCCTTCACCCCAATCCCAGTGGACACCAGCCAGGTACTGAGATCACCTCTAATGGCGGAGTCTTTTGTCCCATAGCCATTCTGATAGCTGTGGGTTGCAAGCTTATGTACTTCAGCCCGCTGGGTTGCCCTTTTTAGCAATACAGCTGACATGTCTGACTGCCATAATTGTCCAAGCATTTCTCTAGAGAACATCACAAAACAAAAGGTTTACAACCTACACCTGTCATTGCATCTTAATGGTTTATGAGACAGTGGCATGACTGATGCTGAATCTTACTGCATTTGTTTCTGATGTGTGCTTTTTTCTTTTTAAAAATTTTAGATTGTGCTGCCTCCCCACTTAGAAAGGATAAGAGAAAAACTGGCAGAGAATATCCATGAACTCTGGGTTATGAATAAGATTGAACTTGGCTGGCAGTACGGTCCGGTACATACTTTTGAAATTTATTTTCTGATTCTGTTAATTCATCTTTCTGAAAATGTTGCTTTTTTCCCCTCATCTTGCCATGAAGTCGTATTAATCATTAGATTGATTTTTTTCACTTGGCTGCATATTTTTATGCAGTATTTTTTAAATAAAAAGACAGATTATTGGCAGGTGCATTGAAGGATGGCTTAGCTCTGTAAACAACTGTAAAGTTATTGGTCTTTGGGTTGAAAGTTATATTTTTAAATCAAAATTAATATAAACAGTGGATTTTTATTTTTAAGCCAATTAAAAATATCAGTGAAGCTGCAAGTACAACCTGAAATGAAAAGAAAAAAATATCAGTTTACTTTCCCCTCTCTGATAAGCCTTTACTTTTAGTTCATTTTAAGCATGACAGCCAGAGGCCTGTAGGTAAAAGTTTACAGTTGGTTATACAAGTGACGGATGATTGTGTGTTTCCAAATGATTTTTTTTGCTAGAGTGTAATTTAAAATTTGTCAGTAAGACTTACATTTTAAAAAAATCTTCCCGTGTAATCTCCCTGTGCATCATATACCTGTTTTTAGCCACTTAAATCATTAGTAATAGCTATTGAATGTTCTTATGGTTTATATCTAAATATCTCATGTGGTCACAGATGGGGTTTTGAAATGTTGTTGGTAAGCATTTCCTTTCTATAATATTGTTATTCTAAATATCCCAAAGTCTGTAGTAGTTTTTTTTTTTTCTTTTCTGGTACCAGGGATCTAACTTGTCCCTGAAAGGCAGGTGCAATGCCACTGAGTTAGATCCCTGGCCTCTGGAATAGTTTCTTATACTTGACAGAGTATAGAAATTAGTGTATTTATGTCCAAATAATAGTTTATTGTACTAACCTCTGAGCAAAGAACATTTGTTCTTAGTAGTAATACCATGTGAAGCACATACTACTCGGTAGCATTTATAAAATATACTTAGTGCTTTGCTCTCTCACATACACTCTCACCTACACAGTTTTAGGTGGAATTGACCAGATAACACATGGGATTATGTGCTATGATTTTGGTGTCTCTGGCGATGTGGAAATACTGAATAGTTTCTCTGGGTGAGAAACTGAAAGTGTAAATAGGACTAACAGTTATAATATATAATGTGAAATAGTAGGAAAAGGAGCAAAGAGGAAAGGAACGTGGGAGGGGCGGGGAAAAGGAAAGAAGGGAATGGCAATAATACGAGAAAATGAAGAAATGGAAACAACATTTTTATAAATAGGGAGGGCTGGAGGGGTTGAAGGGAGGGCAGGGGAATGGGAAAAAAAAAAGAAGAACCAAGATAGATTACATAAAGGTCCAAATTACCAATAATGAATGTCATTATATTTTATATTAAAATCTACCAATAAAATTAATGAAAAAAAGAAGACTAAACCCAATTACTACTTGCCAGGACAGAGAACATCTTCCTCAATTCATTCATTCCTAAAACTTTGAGCTCAGTTTAGTGTGCTGATAGTTTAGTTTGCTAATAGAGTCAGCTCTCTGTTATCCTTGGGTACCACATTCATAGATTTGACCAAGCGTAGATTAAACCATATTGAGAAAAAAATTTCACCTCTATTAAACATATTTTTATCATTGTTCTTATACAATAGCACAACTATTTTTGTAGCATCTACCTTGTACAAGTGTTATTGAGTCATCTAGAGATGATTGAAAGTGTACAGGAAGATGTTCTTAGGTTATATACAAATACTACATATGTTTATAGAGGGAACTTGAGTATGTGTGGATTTGCTGCCGACAAAGAGTCCTAGAATCAATCCCCCATAGATATCAAGGAATGATTATGTATAGTTTCAAAAGATTAGTATGAAAAGCAGTTTTGTTTATCATGATAACTAGTTTTGTTAAGGTAATGGAGTGATTCATGAGAGCAGATATAATTTACAAAGGATAAAATGAAAAATCAGAATCACTTCAAAGAGTTTATAATAGTCATGTTGCTTATGGATGTCTCTGATCAGTTTGGGTCTAAACAGAAAAATTACTACATATTAAGAGGACCATACTATTGTTACACAGAATTTGCTTCGGTTTATAAAAATGTGTTGAGTGTCTGCCATAGGTTTGGCATATCCTAGGTATTAGTAATATATCCAAAGCCAAAGGACATCCAACCCTTGGTCCTTTGTTCTTCCCTTTAAGTGCAGGGAGAAAGGCAGTAGCCCCATAAACATAGATCTCGTGTGTTTACAATTGATAAGTATTATGGGAAATTTTAAAAACAAAACAAAGAAAGAGTGGGATGGTGGGCAGATTGCCGCACCGGGAAGGTGGGCTTGGTAAACCTTATTAGCAGATTGAGATGCAAGCAAATGTGGAAGGAGCTGGATGAGCAAGCGTGTGGGCCTGGGGACAGGAGGGAGCACGGCTGGGCCCATGGGGGCCGCGGCATGAGCTACACCAGAGAAGAGAACTAGAGCCCCAGACTGTAGCAGCCTGTACCACTGACCTTCGGTGTCAGTGGGCCCCAGGAGATTCCCAAGGCAGCTTCCCTGGGACAGTGACCTGAATGTCACTTGTTGCTTTCTGCCTCCCCACAGGGTTAGATGACCCCTGGTCCCATGTGACCCCTGGAGACCATTACATGCTGACCTCCTGTCTTGTTGCAGGTTAGAGATGACAATAAGAGACAACACCCGTGTCTGGTGGAATTCTCCAAGCTACCTGAACAGGAACGCAATTACAATTTGCAGATGTCTCTTGAGACCCTCAAGTGAGTTCTTTAACTCTGTGTTTCTCAGTTTGCCTCATCCCAAAGAAACCAGATAATGAGATTTTACTTTCAGTTCAGCTGTGGACTTACTTCAATTCCAGCTGGAACTTTCTCTGTTATACAGGTGGATTAGATCAATATTTGCTGGGAATTCAACTTTAATCCAATTATTCTGTGACTCTTTGCTCTACCTCAGTATTTCATGAATGCTGTCCTGCAGATTCTTATGGGTATTACAAAATATAAGAGTTTTGGGATCAGCACAAAAATTGATTTACTAATCAGAGTATATAGGCCAGAAACCAAAAACCAGGCTGGTTTGTGACAAAGTAAGTACAGATATTAAGAGTAAATATTTAGAAGTGTTTATACCAATTTAAGGGAGAAATGTTATGCCTGTTAATATAAGAACTTAAAAATATAGGTGCCTACTTTTATTTTATTTTAAAAATTAGTTTCTGTAATACTTTTATTGTATTTTGTCAGTGAATCAGACCCTGATGATTGGAAATTAAAAGAAAATTACCTAAGGTAGTTTGAGGAGCGCTGATCTATATTTAAAAGATGCTGCGTTGCACAAGTTAAATATATTTTCTTTTTCGCTGATGAACTTGTCAGAATTTTTAACTCAGTCCAGTGTACTGTCAATCTCTAGAATGAGGTAGAATCCTTTTTGGTGTCTTCTAAGCTTGTTTAACCATATAGCACCCTCTTTCAGGGAGTAACTCTAGGACCATTTATTTGAGCCCCATGCTTGGAGAAAAGCTACTGCAGGCTATTTTACATCATGTTATGTAGGCAGTTTTGATTTTCAATGAGTTTTTTGACAGTTGATTTCTTGAAGTTGCTTACCTTCCTTTGCAGATTAAAAAATGGGACTTGAACAGAATACATGAAGGAACATAGTCTCCATTTCATTTAGAAAAGTTCAGAAAATATTCTTTGCTTTTGTTTTCCAGGACTCTGTTGGCACTAGGGTGCCATGTGGGCCTCTCAGATGAACACGCTGAAGAAAAGGTGAAGAAAATGAAACTCCCCAAAAAGTAAGTTGAAGGAGGTGGCAACGTCAGACAGTCTGCGCACACACTTAGCAAGATGTAGATCTCTGCTCCCAGTGATGCTATAACATGCAGATTCAAAACGTAAACTGGCTGCGCCACCCTGGGGTGGGACAACAGACTGACAGGCCCGAGAGAAGAAACAGAAGTCACAGTGTATTTGGGAGTTTGTTATACAGAGACTGTTATTTTCCTGGCGAGTATGTGTGGGTGTGAACCTGAGTGTTCCTTTTTCTAGCTGATTACATATATATATATATATTTTCACGACCTACAAAATGTCTTATAATTTCATAAGGAAAACATACTTGAAGAACAAGGAAAGCATCAGTATCATTATTCCTATACGCAGAGGGGAAATCGTGGCGGGTTATGTTACAGGAGTGGCTTTGCCTGCTGTGCTCAGACTTGTGTCTGTGGCGCTGTGTAACCTCTCAGGCCTCAGCCCTCTCACCTGCTGTCGAGCCTTCATGGTGCCCAATTCATTGGGAAGCGTTAGGCCTTAAATGAATAAGTGCTCAGTAAATGGTAGCTGTTTTATGTTACTGTTATTTTTACTTTTTAACTTACATATTTAAGTCACTTTTTGGAGGCTGTGAATTATTAAGTAGCAAGCCAGGAAATGTGGTAAATAATATCATGAAGTAAGAACAAAATAGCCACCTCTTCATCTCTGCTACACTTGATGTACCCAAGATACACATAAAATCCAAGTAGAAATAGTGTGATTTTTTTTTTCCAAATGCAGTCCCTAGTTCAGCAGGCTACAGTTTTCCTCAGATGCTCGCTGGAAGAGTTTATTAAGGCTATATCATAACCTTGTATATTTTTAGGTTCTAAACTTTTTTTTCTAAAAGTTAAGCAGTCCCAAAGGATGTCATTGTATGGTCTGTTTCATATACTTACCTATTGAAATGGTGCTTTTTCATCAGTTTTTGGTGTATCTAATGAAAGCAGATCGACAGTGATTAGATATCATCAGAATCTTTTTCAAAACTACACAAAAACAGGGAATTATATACCATTTCATTTTTCCCTTTGAATGTAATCCCAGTCCATTTTCCTCACTGTGTTTTGTGCCATTGAACAATATTTTTATGTTTGACAATTTTTGAGCCCTGTACTATTTTAATAACCTAAATATATTTAAATTTAATTTTTAATGTTTTGTTTTCTGTGATCATGGTTATTTTTTTCTGAGTTATCAGGATGATAATTTTTGTGTGCTGATGCTCAAAGGAATGTACTTTAAAAACAAAACAAAACAGGGTTTCATTATGTAGTGCAGACTGGCCTTGAACTCACTATGTAGTTAAGGCTGGCCTTGAACTCTTGGCGGTCTTCCTACTTCAGCCTCCCAAGTGCTGGGATTGCAGGTGTGCACCACTCCTCCTAGCAAAGCAAGATAAATTTTTGATAAAAAAGAACAAAAATAAGATTGTATTGGAAATCACTCTTAGTGAACAGGACTCTGCCGTTCTCTTTCAAATTATATCATGCATCCACATATATTTATTATTGCTAGAAAGAAGTTAAACGATCAGTTGCATTCTTTGTTCTCAGAATAGTTTTTGTTATGAAAAATTCATTCCGTTTAGTGAACCAAAAAGTCACAGTTTGTCATGAAAAATCACGTGTAATGGTCTTTCAAGTGACAATTCAATCATGTCCTTGTTCAATTTTTAAAAGATTGGAAATCATCTATCTTGCAAAAGAGTCATTATTCTCTCATTAAAGTTATTCAATCTGTCAGGTTTTTAGGAGAGTATTTGAAAAAAGCATTTTTAAGTCCTAAAAGTACCCCAATAAACAGAGCAAAACCATCACAACAAACTAGAAAATAAACTTTCTACTCTCCCATTTGGATAAGACATTTGAAATGTTAATTTTACATTATCTTTGAATGCAGAATGTTTAATTTATGAAATTATTTTTATTCTGTACTGTGTTTGGGGGTGAGTTGTGTGTGTGGTATGCATATTTCTATTTCATTAAAAACTTGGATTCCACGTAACTTATTTTGTTTATGGAATTTCTCTGTCATGAAACCTAGCTAGTAAAGTCAATTCTCATTGTCAAAGCAACCAGTTGGAAAAGGATTATCCTTTGCCACAGGAATCTCGCTTTCTTTCTTTTCTTGGTGTAACAAGTGGGTTAGCCGCTGTGACAACCCTTTCAGTTCTGCTTCTGAATCTAGAAGAGGTCGGCAGGCAGGTAAATGGGGCACAGGGTCGGTAGCAAGCTCATATCGGGGAGGAATGAAGGGCCTCTGCCTTTACTATTTTTCGTCGGTGCTGTATCATTGTGTTGCTCTTAGTAGCTCTGCTCCATTTATGCGTAGGTGAGAAAATGGAAATGATGAAGCCAAAATGAAAGTCACTCACTCTTTACACCATCTCTCCTATTCCTAAATTTGCTTTGAGGTCTTATTTTGGATTTTTATTCTATTTGGAAAAATTAGGAAAATGCTAATAAGCATTTGGATGTAAGTCAGTACAAAAATAAAAATTTGGGGTGTTTTTAAAACCACATTTAAAGAAACTGTGATAGTCATTGTGAAGAATTCTGCATTTCAACACTTGCTTACCTAGAAGTTCCGCTCTTGGAGATGTGCCCTAGAAGGTCCACATCAACAAATGCGCAAATGGTTGTTAACAACATTGTTTTGAACAGCAAAAATAAGGGGCAAGTTATAGAGATGGGAGAAGTATTTTTCAGTAGGAAAATGGATTAATTGGGCCTGGTCTAATAAATGAATTGTAGTTATAAATGACACTGTAGATGAATATAAAAATAGCAGTGAGGGCATAAAAACATTTCTTATAAGATGATATAAAATTGATATAAATTAAAGCAGAGAGTCTCAAAATATGCACATGTATATATGGAAATTTGATATGTACCAGAGGTCTCATTACAAATAAACAGGATAGTGACAGATAGTTCACTAAGTAGTATTCAGGCACTTGATTAGCAAAATGAAAAAAAAATGCTGTGTTTCTACCTTATACTATTCATAGACATTCACATGTCTAATTGCTGGAAACAAGCAAAAAATTAAAAGCAACAGAGTGACTGTCTTCATAATCTTGGAGTAGGAAGGACACTTTTTAAAACCAGAAAATGCAAAAGGCCTCATTTTATTTAAATATTTAATCATATATAATCTTCTTTGAGAGGTTTCCCTAAGCATCCTATCTGTATTATTATGATTGTTTCCTTTACCCTGCTGTTATTTTTCTAGTTGTATTTCTGCAACTGATGTTATTTATGTACTTATTTTTCACGTCCCCTGAACTGATATGTTTACTCAGTAGGATTCTATAGCTGTGTTAACTCCAGTTCTCCCAGATTGTAAAGCACCCAGCACACGGTAAATGTTTCATATTTATTGTTGAGTAAACAATTTAACACATTTTTCTACATTGAAAAAAATCCATGAATTCAAGTAGACTATAAACTTAGAGGAAGGCCTCAGAACACCAGCAGGAACTTTTAAAAGTTAATTAAAAGGTTTCCAAATAGAAAAATGAGTAAGGGATGTGAACAGATAATCTACAGGGAAGAAGACCTACAGATCTAGTAAACACATGAAAGGCATTCAGTCTCCCTGTTACAGCTTGTAACTAGACATCCTCCCAAAGCCTCGTGTGATCATAGGTGTTGGGGCTTTTTGGAAAATGGATCCATTTACTGTGTCTGATGCTGTGATTTAGAGTGTGATGCTGGGATGAAGGGTGCCTCACCCTGTGTGTGAGTGCCGGGTAGCCTGGATGAAATTTAGAGGGCAGAAAGAAAGCTTGCTGCTACTGCTTGTCTGCTCTTGCCTCCTACCTATTCTGCAATGCCCCTCAGCCATGCCACCCTGCCTTGCAGCCAGCTCCTTATAGACTGAAACCTCCACAAACTGTGGGTCAAAATAAACCTTTCCTCTTTTAACTTTGGGTATTGGGTAGTTTGTCTTAGCACGAAGAAAAGGTCACTAAGACACTCATTAATAATAGAGGAAGTCTAAATTAAAATCGCAATGAAATCTGTTTTACTGTTTCCAGGTTGACAAAGATGGAACATTTTGGTGGGAATGTAAATTAACATAACTATTTTGGAGACCACTTTATCCTAACCTTAAAAAGTTGATGATGACCCAGTTGTTTCCTATCTTGACATAAATCTTATTGACAATTTTTGCATGCATGTGCAGACAAGTCTGAAGAGAGTGTTCTGTGTGGTCTAGATTATAAATAATGCCTACAAGCTAGAAACAATTAAAAAGCCTATAAACCCAAGAATCTGGAACACTTCTAGATTCATGTATTGAAATGCTGTGGAGTAGTTAAAATGAATTCACTATAGTGACATGAAGTCACAGGACAAATCTTATAAATGACCTTGTGCAAAACAATCCCACCAAAGAAAAGTGAGCTGCCAAAAGGAGTATAATGCTCTTTAAAATTTAGTAGGAGAATTTAGCTTTCCACATAGTTTATAGAAGCATGTTATAAAAATGATACCAGCATTCTTCACAGAACTAGAGAAAATAATCCGAATATTCTCTGGGAACCAGAAGAAACCCAGAACAGCAAAAGAAACCCTGGGTAAAAAGAGCAAAGCAGGAGATACCACAATCCTGAACTTGAAGTTTTATTACAAAATTACAGTGATAAAACAGCATAGTCCTAGCATAAAACCAGATAGGAAAATCAATGGAACAGAATAGAGGATGCATAAACGACCTCAGGCATATTCAATTTTTTGATCTTTGACAAGAGGGCCAATAACATACATTGGAGAAATGATAGCCTCTTTAATGAATGGTGTTGGGAAAACTGGCTGTCCACAGCAGAAGATTAAATGCAGACCCATATCTCTGACCATTCCCTAAGCTAAAATCAAAATGGATCAAAGAAGTAAATCTTAAAACAGAAACACTCAACCAGCTGTCAGATAAAATAGGTAAAACTTGTGAAGATACAGTTTTAATAGAT